ATCAATATTGCATATTTCTATATATGATTTTATGATAATTATATGAGTTAAATATATAATAAATATTTATTAATAATTGTATGATCTTATAATATTGCAATGTTATATGCATGATGTATGTCTCTCTCTCCTCTATATATATATATATATATCTATATATATATATATATATATAATTATATGATTTTATAATAATTATATATGAGTTATATATATAATAAATATTGCAATATGTTAAATATATTATAAATCTACACGGATCAGGTTCAAGTCTATCAAGTGCACCCCAGGCCAGGTCCGGAATTCCGTCCAAGTCCTCCTTTGAGCATTCAGGGTGTTGGTAACAGAAATCTCCACAACTGTTGGTTCACTACCCAACCACAAGATATGGATAAATATTTATCAATAATTCTATGATCTTATAATATTGCAATATGTTAAATATATTATAAATCTAGGGTCAGGTCCAAGTCTATCAGGTACACCCCAGGGCAGGTCTAGATCTGAGTCCAAGTCATTTGAGCATTCTGGGGATTGGTAACAGAAATCTCCACAACCGTTGGATCACTACCCAACCACAAGATATGGATAAATATCAAGTACCTTTACATCGCAAAGTTGAATACGGAATCTCCCTTTACAAACATATTTCAAACATTTTTCATCTGGTTCAAATTATTACAATCTTCCCACATCTGTGGTGAAGTGCATTAACTATTGAACTTTTAATTATAGAGAGAGAGAAAGAAGATGAATACATGAGAGATGCAAAAGGCAATCTGAGAAATGTAAAGCATCGCTTAAAGGGACATATTCGAGACCTTTGGGAGATTGCATAAGGGCAGTCATGCAATGATGGAGAAGTCTCTTAACAGACTTAGGCCTACACTACCACATTGCCCCATTCTCACACATCCATTCACTGTGAAACTTCCTTGTGACCAAGCAAATTTTCCATAAATCCCAATGCAAGTAATCTAATCATAGACAGACCCAGGAACTTGACAGGCCCAATACTCCCACAACCTGCAACGTTACAAAACTGTGGTGGCTAGCATCCATCAACCTTTGATGAAGTATACACACGTAAAATCTTTTTTTTTCAGATAATTACAAAGATATAGCCTCCAGTGAATAATATTGGCATGGTGATGTTTTACACTCACATAAGAGCACAACCAACCTCAAGATCCTCACCCTCAATTGAAAGTATAGTTCCAATGGCGATACAAACTTGAAACATCAAAGCTTGTCACTTGTTTGATGATTGAAAGCACTCTTCCTCTTCCTCAGCATCCACTACAATTAAAATCTTCTTCACCACCAGCCTTTGATCCCATTATGCTAGGCACTCTAACCAACACCATTTGGCAACAAAAGAAACAATCTCCAATAATATTCATTCAACTGCTGAATATGCAAGTGCCACACATTGCAAAATCTCATGGATATGGAACAACACGAAATAGACAACATGACATTGAACAATTTATTTGCCACATTATCAACGCAGCCACCCAACAAGAACTCAGTGAAACAAACATAAGAAGAATTAAAAAGAAAATGGCAAAGAAGTGTCATTCTTATTCAACAACTAAAACGTTTACCATGACTATCCCCTTTTTATACATCATTGACACTCAGCCCTTGCCTTGGCTGCCTTGTTTTGATCCACTTATGCTTGCTTATAAAGGCAGAATAGCTCTACCATAATGACCCACATTAACACTACCCTCTCCGTTCACCTTAAGATAATTCATGCCCCAAATCAAGACCAAAGAACTATACATCTAAAAACAAATAAAAATTGACTAATCAAAAGGTTACATTTATAAAGCAACAAGGATATTTGAATCCAATCCATATTAAGATTCTTTGGCTAGAGAAGAGGGGCTCTTAGATCCTCTCTTGTGAGAAAAGGAGTTCTAGACCTCCTGTAGCCCCACAATTTTGTATCTATGTAAACCCGCACATACATCAATCAAACATTGTTAACAATAAATCATCATCATCATCATCAATTGTTAACAATAAATCATCATCATCATCATTGTTCAGCGGACAACAAACAATAGGGAAAATTACAAAAAAACCCCCAAGACCACACTTTCTATGCAACTTACCCCCAACCTAACTTTTTCTCTCACTTGTTACCCCAAAACAAACTTTCTATGCAAATACCCCCCCAAGGGAAAAAGTTCATTTTTTTAGACAGAAATGCCCTTCCCGTACACAAAAATCATTTTGGCCAGATTTGACGTTGACTTTTAGACCCCAGTAGCACATTGCCGGAGTGCACCACCACATTGCTAGAGCGCACAAGTGCCGAACCGCCCTAAGACAACTACTGGACCGAAAGTAAGTACTGCCATACCGCCCTTTACATAGCATCGGAGCCTTGGAATCCAGTAACATCTACTGCCGGACCGCCCTTTCCAACTTCTGGACGCACTTTACACAGTGTCGAAGCCTTACTGCGGGATCATACTTTACACAGTGCCGGAGCCCTACTACCGAACCGCACTTACAAAGGGTTGGAGCCCCTATTTTGGTGAGATAGAGGAGAGAGAGGCGTGGGTAAGGTAAAAGTAAGGGAGGGTAGTTTAGGCTTTTTTTTTTTTGGTTGGGGGGTATTTGCATAGAAAGTGTATTTGGGGGAAAAGTCAGAGAAAAAGTTAGGTTGGGGGTAAGTTGCATAGAAAGTGTAGTCTTAGGGGTTTTTTGTAATTTTCCCAAAACAATATACCCATAGAATGAATGTAGTGGAGATGAGGATGTTGAGATGGATGAGTGGCAAGATAAGAAAGGATAGAATTCGAAATGAATCCATTACGGAAGATTTCGGTGTGGCACCAACAGGCGATAAGATTAGAGAGAGTAGACTTAGGTGGCTGGCCATGTGTGACGTCGACCAAGTACAGCAACTGTTAGGACCGTGCGAGTTAGTTCAAGTGGAATGACTGAGAGGGCAAGGGGTAAGCCCAAAATGATGCAGTTGGAAGTTGTCCAAAAAGATATTGGGACTTATAGCCTCACCGATGGTATGGCCTTTAATAGAGCAGAATAGCGAACCATGATTCGTGTAGTAGGCCCCAATTAATTGGGAAAAGGCTATGATGATGATGAGTTAATAATGATAAATAAACAAATAACTTAATCCCATTGATTTCTACATTTTTACCATTAAAAGAAAATGTTGTATTAAAACCTTGTAATACAAACTTCATATAAAAGGAATAAGATCAAGGATTCATCACCTTCCAAAATATCCTTCTACAAATAGAGTATCATATATCATTATATCTAATGGAACAAGTATATCAAATAGTACAAAAAAAAAAAAGCAAAGATGTGCGCCATATGGCAATTCGATTGAGGTCGTGGTGGTAGCGCCACTTGAGCCTCAACTACTGGTCTAGGTTTCTTCTCCCACTGACACATTCGAGAACCACTAACTATTTCAAGAAACGGGTAGGCACTTGTATTCCCCACTGATCTACCCAAAAAAAAATAAAAGATGTGTCCCATAGTTAGAGAGAGAGAGAGAGGGAGAGAAGAAAGAGAGAAGGGAAGTGAGAGGTGTGTAAGAGGAGTCATACAATGTGAATGGAGTCCTACATAGAGAAGCTATACATATGGCACTTACTCATATATTGTAATGATATTGTCTAATATGCATGTGGAGACATGATACAATAAATATACAAGAAACCCGCCTCTTCACATGCCTAGATCCTACCAAAGTTTCTAAGCTGGATACTAATTGTACCAGGTTAGGTTTTTAAGAAAATAGAAACCATGGGTAACCAAAACATCTTAGACCCACTAATTCAAAAATTACTTAGTCAATAAAGGAAAAGGGCTTTACAGAAATGGAAAAATAGGATTTTCGTAAGTTGCATTGAAGTGAATATAATGAATACTAACCAAAAGAAATGAATTCAAAGCAACAAGTAAAAGAAATAAATTCAAAACAAAAGTAAAAGAAATGAATTCAAGCAACAAGTAAAAGAAATGAATTCAAAGCACAAAGTAAAAGCAGCATACCAAAGTTCGAACAAGAAACTTTATTTCCTTCTCCCTACAAGAATGAAGAAGATTTACAATGAGCTTCTTCCTTCGATCAGCACTTCCAATACCTGCTTCCTTGCTAACAATAGCGATGAGTCAGGGAAACTGAAAACATTTCACATCATCTAGTGCCACCAAATCCTGAATACTCCAGTTAAAAATGATAATTATTTATTTCAGGAATTGAAATAAAATGCCTGACAATTATCAAAGAGAGAGAGAGAGATGTTGTAAGGTGTAAGTCCTACAGAAAATAGAGTAATACCCCTAAAGGAGCAGCTAGTTGGTATTAAATTCTAAAAAAAGTGATTAGATGAGCCTAAACAGCCAGACTTTGAAAGCATGAAAATCAGCATCATTTCGAATACTTGTATACATATGCAGTACCCAATTCTAAACCAACCACCAACAGGACAGATTCCATGAAACGCTTACATGGACATAAAGTAAAGAAGTAAAAAATAGTAATCATGCACCAAGCATTTGACAAGAAATCCAAATATTATATATAACAAAATACCCAAGTAATAAATTACACGATAATTCAATATGATGAAATGCAGCAGTTTGAGACAGGTTAACTCTAGCCAATATAATTAAAAATCCACAATGTAAAAAATGAATAAAAGAATCAACAAAGATCCTAGACAAAGAAAGAATTACAAATACATATTGCACAAGAAGTTTTTAAAACTAGTTAGAGAGGATAGAACCAATTGTTATGCCAGGTGATGCATGTAGAGGAATACAATGACAGTATGCATGAATGGTACTCTTTTGGTGCCAGATCCAGATTTACCAACCTTGAGCAAGCAGGAATAATCACGGCAGAGATCCCTTTGACAATCTTTGTCCTTCTCAAATGCCCACTATGACGAGAGAAAGTTCATTCACAAATTTCCGTTGCCTTTCATATTTACTCTATAGTTATTTCCATTTTTTCTCTCTCCACACCTTTCCCCTTCCCACTTTCTTTCATTTCATATCTTTCTGCTCTAACACCAGCTCTTTGGTTTTCATTTGAAACTAAGTATAAGCCCCATTCCTGGCATAAACACTCTTTTCCTGCTCAACTTCCCCTACATTCCTTCCACGATTCATGTTTGACTTACAAAATGGTGCCTGTCCCATCCCATGGTCCCAATTCAATGTATCTCCAACAACGCAAAGCCAACAGCCAAATCCCCCAACCCACCCAGTCATTGCCCTCTCACATTTCTATGCTCGACCAGGCAAACCTCATTCAAACAGAATTTATAGCACATGTAAACATGCTCATGGTATCCATTCCAAAATCTAAGACAGTGGAAATTCTGTGATTTATAATGTGTTTCTAGCTGGAAAATTCATCCAATCAAAGCCAAAAATATACCAATTTTTCTTTCTTTTATGATTGGAAAATGAAATACACCAACATGATAATGGATCATGTCAAGATGAAGGGAAAAAAAAGCGAAGTTCCATATCAATGCAAAAGGTTTGAGAACAAAGAAACAAGTATCTCAATTTACAGGGACGACTAGAAATAGACTGTTCCTTGCGTTAACAAACTATTTTTTATTTATCATACAGCTAGATTCAGAAGAAGTTAATGCCTAAGATGCCCAGATATGGATATAGGAACAGCTATGGGAGTAGGGATACAACTCAGCCATGCATCTACACACTGCTGTCTATCTAGTGCACAAATATATGTTGACACATTGAATAAATTACATTTTATTCATGTTTCTTTCTATAAATATATTATTTTATACTTACAAGTATGTCACTACAGGTGCTGTATAGTATTATCACCAGTACATAGCACACCTTCGTCTTCTTTTTTTGGTTTTTTTTTTTGGCTGGGGGGGGGGGAGAGGAGGCAAGTCCTGCTGGGGGGGAACGCTCATTATATGCTACATACAAGCATCCACAAATCATAGGAAAAGGCACAACATAGAATGTTAAGCGCTTTTGCACTTCTGACATCATTCTGTATATTGTACAACAAAAAAGGGTGATTTGGCAATTCGCATCATGCAATATCATCCATCACCTAATGTTTGTAGGTGGTGTATCCCATGAAATTGGTAAGATAATTTTAAGAACATGCAACTTATCACCATTAACCAATTGAAAAGACAAATAACATGTATGTTTATCATCATTAAGCCAAAAGAAATAAAATCAATCATTAAAATTGATTACTGATGATTATACACGAATTTTAAGAAGATCAAAGATTAATACTTTTGTGCCATTCCTCCATAATAAAGAAACTATGTGACTCCTCTCAAGGGAAAGGTTCCAAAAGTTATTTGAATAAGTTATTTGAATATTTTCTGGATCAATAGCCCTTATTTTTTTTAATCTGTTTTTCTGAACAATAGCTCTTATTTCCAAAAAAAATTTGGATCAATAGCTCTTATTGTTAGCAGAAAAATAACAGAGAAGGCATTGGACAAACCTGGTTTTCAAATAGTGCATTTTGCTACACAAACAGTGAAACATAAATTTTATTGAACATTGTATACCAAAACAATGTAGAAAGTACTACGAGACTTAGAATCAAAGTTGGCAGGGCCACCTTAACTAAACAAAAAAAACAAAAAACACAAAGCATACTATTTGAACTTTAAAACAATCAGAGAGTCCCATAATTGTTGTGTACATTCATAAACTCAAGACAAGTCTCAAAAAGTAAATTACAATATAACATAAACTATAATATTATATATGTGTAGTTTGCATGCATGTGTCTCACACCATGCTTTATTATTATGACATGTGGAGAGAAAAATAATAGGAATCTTTAGGGGATGTAATTGAAAACACAGTTTTCTATGTGAGAAAATAGAATACATGTGAAGGGTTGATTTTTTGGAAGGAAAATTGAATTCACCGAGGGAGTCAAGGAAGAAACATTGTAGGTATCTTCTAAATAACCTCTTGTTCTGTCTCTCTCTTGTCCATAATTAATTGACAACTTAGTCTTTGTCCTCTTCCCTCGCTCTTCTCCTAATGTCTACAATTAGTAACTCTTCTCCCTCCCTCCCTCGCCCCTCCTCCCTCCTCTCTCTCTCTCTCTCTCTCTCTCTCTCTCTCTCTCTCTCAGTTATCGGAATGTCTTTGTCCAAGTTGTGATTCCACTTCAGAATCCTGATTCAGTGATTCTGATAAGGAACCTTCAATGAACCAGTTTCCTTGAAGTTAGGAATCTCGATCCCAACGTTTATGGCATCTCTTCTCAAAAAAAAACATTTATGGAATCTCAATTCCACCTTTTCCAAATCTCAATTCCAATATTTATCGAATCTTGATTCCACATTTGTTGATTCCTGAGTCCATATATAATGAATTTCGATCTTTTTCTTTTCATCTAGAATCCATAATATCAAGTAACTCGGTTCGTAGGTGCACGAAACTACAACTCAATTAACATGGAATCTTGCTTCCACCTTCATAGAATCTCGATCTGAAAATTTTTGGAATCATAATTCCACAAAATCAAATACTGATGTTCATAGGTGCACAAAACTGTGATTTGTTGAACGTGGAATTTCACCTCAATGATTTATGGATTTTGATTTTAGTTATTTGGAAACTCAATTGGAGAACATTGTTTTCCATGGTTTATAAGTGCTCCAAATAATAATCCGATGAACGCAATGCTGAAGAATTTGTAACACGAATCAACTTTCAAATGCAAATCTATAAAGTTAAGGAGTACTCAACATGTATGATTCTAATGTCTTTCACAAGTAAAAAAGGTACGAATAACTAGAGTGTTGGAGCATTAATAAGAGTACTAATGGTGCTAGGACCGGCTCGGATCATGTTTCTAACAGTGCTCGGATTGGCAGCCTTTTTTCAAAATATAATTGGTAAAGATTTTTATATTCAAATAGGACTACAACACAAACAACACCATAGCATAGACAAAGTCATATTTTGAACTATATTAATGAAACCAAAATCACATTTCAAAAACATATGAGATAATATTTGTGTCTTTTGCATACAATTTCCCTGGTGGACTATGTGTGTCTATGAATTGCACTTTTGATATTGTGTCTGCGGCTCAATAGTCTATAACTCAATATATTGACTTCCAATTACATAAAAAACGCGATCCCAATCTGTTAGAATTGCGATTCCATAAATAAAGGAATCTTATTTCCATATGGGTCGATTCCAAATAGGCTAAAACTCAATTTCCAAAGTGGTTGGAACATCAATTCCATGTATATAGGGATCTCGACTCCATTAAGGTCGAAGCTCAATTCCTATAACAAGATTCCCCTTGTACAGACATCGATTCCAAAAACAAGAATCTTCTAGCCAAATGCGATCCCACGATTTTGATTCCTAAAATGATTCGAAATCTCAGGCATTTCTAACAAGTATGCTCTCTATTCCACCATCCATGTTATCAGATTATTGTTCACTATTTAACTTTAAAATTGAGATTTCATTTTTTGTTGATCACTTTTTCTCTTCCTCATGGTAGCCTGAGAATCCCATGCTGCAGTCTATATAATATTACACCCACACGCACAAGCACTCACACTACTCCTAAATAAGATCATAAACTTCGCCTCAAGAACTGACTTGTCCTACGCACAGCATATTTTTTTAACTATGTATAGAATTTTAAATGGATATCAGTCCAAAGTATATTCAAAACATCATAAAGCTCTATAAATAATGCATATAATAATTATAAAACCAAACAAATAGCAGTTCAAAACATACGTAAGTCCTTAATAAGAGGGAAGATTATGCAAAATTCACACCTTATCTGTCGAAGTGTATAAAATACATGACGAATTGAAAGCGGGCTTGGAAGAGCAAGAAATGATTGACTCTGCCAACAAGCCTGTGCAACATCTCCTATAAAGACACGCTCACATCAATATGTAAATAAATTCAGCGAGTGAAGCCATACGACAAAAAATAAAAAAAAAAATCAGTTCAGTAGTACCCAAATCACCCAAAGTATTGTACAATTCTTGTATTTTAGCCTTGTTTGTTCCACATGCCTCCTTTATTGCTGAAGAGACCATACTGCCACCAATGTTCAGTTCCTAGAGAAAAATTATGGAGTAAAATCTTTCAGAATCAAGAAATAGTAAATCCCACAAGCTAGGTTGTCTCTAGGAGGTTTCAGACAACTCCAATGTTACTAATCCCACTTCTAGTACAAGCTTAATAATATTATCGTTCTTTTTTTTGCCACTTATTTGTAGTAGTGGGATTTGATAGTTGCAACCTAAGGTAGCATCTGGTTACAAGTCCATCAAAGGTGATTACTTTTCCCATGAATTCTTTGAAGTAAAGAAACCAGCCCTAAATTCTTGAAATAAGCAAGCTCACAAGTAAAGCCTTATTTTATTGATAATTGATCATTAAACAAGTTTTACAGAACATTGCCATGTTGGACTTTACAATACACATTCAGAACCACTTAATATACTACAAGATTATTTAATATTGACTTCAGAACTTTCCTCCATTCTGCCTAGCCATAACCTACTTCTCCTAAAGCACATACAAATTAATGCAACAATCTGCTTATGTTTGAGAACTCTCAACATGGCATTGAGATGTTAGGAGGCAGGCAGACACACTATAATATTAATGGGGCTCATCTCTCAACATGAAACGACCTGTACTTTATCTGTGCCTTAAGGATAAATATCATAATTTCTTCCTCCCCTAACGAAATAGTACTGAATTTTAGACTGCCCAAGTATGCATGTGTACTTTATCTCTAACATAAGATTAACTTTCATGATTCTTCCTCCCCATAAAAAAATATTTCTGAATTTTAGATTATCCAATAAAGAAAATTCTGGTGTTAGGAAACTTGGCTGTCCACTCGGACTCCGGAGAGTCAGTTGGGCTCAGCACCCTACTCGGGGAGGTTTTGAATTGCTACAGTGCCCCGGCAAGCTGTTAGAGCAACTCACCCTAGTACTTCAGCAACTCTAAGAGTTCCCGAGTTTGATAAAATTTAAGAATTATATGGGGGGAAGGGGGCGGATCTGACTCCCCTTTCCCCCGTTTCTCCTCATCCAAGCACCCAATTGAGACCAAATTGCAGAGGTATGCTCATTTTTGCATGATCTATAAATTCAGTAGTTGAAATTTGAGAAAAATTCAGAGCTTACAAATTTGAGATATCAAAATTTTCATCTTAGGTTTTGACCAGATACGAAAAGTTGCAATTTTTTCACTACAATTGGCCGATGTCTACTCTTGTTGGGTTCTTCATCAAATCATACTGATATCACCAAAAAAAAAAAAATCTCGGACTTGCAAGGTTTTTATTTTGGACTTACCATTCACCCAAAAATTTTAAGAGCTCAAATCAACTAGATCCAAACTCAAAATCCCAAATCTGATTTAGGGGTTTTGATTTGGGGTGTTTGAGGTTGCTTTGACAAAGATTGAAGGCACTAATTCACACTGAACACAAAACTTGGAAGACCTGCTTTCAAGTTTCGAAGAATTTTCATTTTTTTCCATTTAAATTTCATTTAGTTGATTTTATTTTTGATGGATATCACTCAATTTTTTGTATTTTTGTTGCATTCTATCAAAAAATAAGTAATTTTTTTTTTTCAGATTCATATATTCTGAGAGACTTTTTACATGTGTACAAAGATAATGTTTTATGTATTTGTAATGTTCAATTTAAAAAAAAAAATTAATGATGCCGATTAGATTTCCTTCATGGTTTTCATATGCATCCACTATGCTTCTACAGTTATGGAATTAGTAGTTTCTGTTAAAATCTTCAACATGAATTTTTTTTCTCAGATTTTGATGCATAAAAAAGCAATTATAATAGTTGAATTAGCTTAATGTTGCCAATTCGTTTTTCTTTCTTAATGTTGCTAATGGGATATATTTCAAAGGTTTTTAAGGCCTTGGCTAGGCCTAAGTTGTTTCTAAAGTAACATTTCCTCTTGAACAACATATTTTGATGCATGCAAAAATATTTTCGGCATAAAATATTTTTAACCCAAGAATTTACATTTTTTTTCACATTTTGATGTATAAAAAATATCATGTTTGAGTGTTTATATCTTTAGCATGTTTTCTTTTGTAAGCTTAGGAGATTTTGACTCCAACTGAGACTCCAGCATGGCAGAATGGGGTGAAGCTGCTGGAGAAGGGTGGGAGCGGGTGAAGTGCGGACATTATGGAAGGAGATGTTAAACAAGATTAATCACCTAAAACATCACCTAACCAAAATTTGGGATGATGAAATGCTTTGTGATAATGTGCATGTCAAAGTGAAGTAGCAGATGAGGCAATCTATTAAGGCAACAACGGAAAAGAAGGTGAAAAGATAAAGGGGTGATAGAGGAAATAGGGAGACAATATTATGCACCTTCCCAAGAGGAAGAGGAAGGAAATTTTAAGGCCCAACCTAGGCGTGAAAGAAGGGCCAGTCCAGAAGAGATGCAAGCTAGACTGCTCCTTATAGAAGAGATATATGTTAAACAAGTAGGAGCTTCTAGTAGTCATCCAGTACCTCTCAAGCCAGTAGTAACTAACTACCTGCCTTTTATTTTGGTGGGGGCCTGGAGGCAGGGGGGGCGTGCTTCAAGACTCTTCAAGTCTTCCACCATGTGAAGACATTCTACTCTTTCCTTTGTTAACACAACCAAAAAAAATATATCCTAGCCACCCCCAGACCCAACCTAGTAAGCCTATCAAGTCTTCCACCATGTGAAGACATTCTTCTCTTTCCTTTAATAACACAACCAAAAAAAATACTACCTAGCCATCCCCAACCCCAAACATAGTACGCTTACCCATGGTCAAATTGACCACTTTCTCTCTCTTTTTTTTCTTTTGGTTTTTGAAACTGTCAATTGCATTAAAGAAGTAAATGTATTACAAAAGTGTAGACAACCCACAAGATGGGTGCTTTGTAAAAAGACCCTCGAGGGGCCCAAAAAATGCTCTACATCGAGAATATGAAGAAATGCTAGATACAAAAAATGGGGGACTAAGAGCTCAAAAAGTTGCCAAAAATCCGAGTGTTGTCATGTGTTGCTCCCTCCCTAGCGAGGGCGCGGGCCATTAAGTTAGCCTTCCTGCAGATATTAGTCCACAAGACAAGCATAGGCCTGCAAATGTATGAGATCTCATCAAAAATATGCTCTGGTCTCCAAGGGCAAGGAGAGGATCAGGATGCCCAGGCAATCACGTTTTTGTAGTCTCCCTCAACTATCAATTCTAGGCCCCAGCAAGGATCAAAGTTCTTGAGTCCTTCCAGCAGAGCAAAGGCCTTGACGGTATTGGAGTCGGTGTGGCCGATGAAATGGGAGAAGGTGAAGGGAGTGTTGTTGTCATTGGCTCAAAAGATTACTCCAATGCCTAAAAGGCGGTTTACCAGAGAGTAGCCATTGAAGTTGAGCTTTGACTGGCCGTGTTCAAGCGGTCTCCAAAGAGAAGCTTGTGGGATCTTGGTAGGCGTTAAGTTCAACAGTGCCTACCAGTCTTTGTGGAAGTCCAAATAAGAAAGGTGCCTGAAGGACTTAAGGTTTTTGGCCCAGAAAGTGACCAAAGTTCTGACCCTATCTTTCAAGGTTTCGACCGTGGCCCTCTCCCCGCAAAAGGTCCAAGAGTTTTTCTCATTCCAAATGACCCAAAATGGGGCCACCATTGACACCGCCAAAGGAGTAAACTGGACCTCGACCACGGTGGGGAATAAAATGTGGCAAAAAGGTGAGGGACAGATCTATGGGTCACCCACGACCAGTTGAAAAGTTTGACCACTCTCTTTTCAAGCCCAAAGCAAAGCAAAAGACACTTAAGTCCATATGGGGGAAGCATTTATCAAAAGATACAGAAAGCGACTACAAAATGATTCTTTGACACTGCCATCCTATGAATGCAACGAATGGTTTATATTATCAATTAATGAAGTATATGCAGATTCAAGGGTTAACCTGCAAAAGAGCTTTCTAGACCTTGCTTTGATGAGGATGGCCTTGGTAGATTTATTCCTTGACGAGTACAGGGAAATATGCAGTAAAACTGTTTACAATATTTAAAGGTTGGAATGATGGGAGAAAAAAGTTGATTGTTAAAGTTTTGGTGTATTGATCCAGAGAGACAATCTTCCACTCCATTGCAGATCTCACCCATAAAAAGAGGACTAGAAGGTTTTTGTTCCCTATGCTTGATAGAGTAGTGCAGATAGGTGGGGACGGTAATCTACTATTAAGTGGTTACAGTTAATGCAAAGTACATAAAAGCAGGAGACTGCTAATTAATAAGAGGAAGCATTTATTTTGGAGCCACTGCATTGCTCAATTGTCTAGACCTCTTGTTAAAAGCAATAGTTGAATCTGAGGAAGTGAGAAGTTGGGTTAAGAATAGGAAGAATATTACCAAATTCAAATATAATCACTCCATCATTAGCTTAATGAGGCAACATTGCAATAGGGAGGTCATAAGACATGTTATCAGTAGATTTGTGATTTCATACTTGATATCAGAGTGCAATCTGAGAACTGGGCTTTTACACCTATCTTAAGATGTCAACCTGCAGAGAAGTCAAAGAAAAAAATTGATAATCATGGGTATTTTGATAAGTGCATGCAGATTGTCACTAGCACCACCCACTTGTAATAGTCCCAAGGTTGTTTGATTCAGTTGTTAAGTCTACCATGGGGATCATGTATGAGGCACTAGACCATGCAAAGCATGCCATAGAAGCCAACTGCATATTCCACAAACAAAGAGTGGAAGATCATTGATGAGACATGGGCTAGCGAGTGCATTGCCATGTCCATCAGCATGTAACTTCCAGTTCAAGTTTCAATTTGCATTTATAGATTGTGATCTATGATCCTTGTGTGTTGTGGCCTATTTGACCAGCCATTAATATTATAAATGAAATAATGAATTCAGGATCTTTAACCCAACATATCACTTTCAACCAGGTCGGATTTCTTCTTAAAGCCAACAAGTCACTTTCAACCGGGTCATAATGAACATCCTAAGATAATTAAAGGGATGAAAGTATTAACTGAAATGCTAGAGTGAGATAAGGATGCCCATATTGAAGGCATGAAAGAGGTGAAAATTTGTTTAAAATATTAAAATTCACACATATAAACATTTTGATTTGTAGCTTCTTGTAATTTGTAAATTGGAAATGTATAGTTTTGTTCGTTTAGCTTGCTTTATATGTGGATACACAAGGCAAATTTGGGTGGTGAGCAACCCAAAGTGGCAGGCAATAGAGCCAAGGAGGCAGTAAGCATGAGGACTTAACCAGCAGCGGCGACTTTTAGTTAGGGGCTACTGCTGCCACGACGACACAGATGTTTGGGAAAGGTCCATTCCATGACACCGAGGATGATTATGTACCTCCACGACACTCCTATTGGCTACAGAGCATAGAGCGTTGCATTTGTGTATTGGAGTTTCTTCCATATTTTTGTCTATTATAGTGAATCTATGACTATGAGACTGTAATTTGTAATGAATACCATTGTTATATATAATTAACTTAATATTTAATGTTTAGTATGAAGTGAAAATTGATGGGACTAATTTGAATCAGCACCATAATAGTACAAAAATAATAAATTATAGCATAGTTACCAGGATCTCGTAATCCAGGTGATGATCCCACTTCAGGATCCCACTCTAGTGCCCCCGGCTAGGGATCTCCATGCTATCTAGATCCCCACTTTCTAGGATCCATCCTAGCAACTTGAAGTGGCAACAAGAGGCCAAGAAGATTATTTATTTGGATCTTAGTTGCAACTCTCTCTCTCTCTCTCTCTCACACACACACATATGCTTTTGGATTTTTTTTGAGACAATATATGCCTTTGGATGTTGTAAAGTGTAAAGTTGCAAATAAAGCAAACTTGGTAGGCTTTTGGATGTTTTAAGCTTGAAATTGTTGATATGAAAATTTTTATCAATAAAAAATTAGCTCCTTTGAATGTTATTGGTTAACCCCATGTGCCTCATCATAATATTTTTTTTTATCGTATTTTGTGGGACTAATGTTACACAACTACACCTAAAGGGATTAGAAAAAATCATTATTAATTAAATAAAATTTAATAATAGAAAATTTGTTTCTTTATTGCCCTTCTTCGTGTGTCCATTATTTATTGTATTATGTAGACTTATTGGATTTTTTAACTTTTCATAAAATTTCTAATTTTTCAATTTTTTATTTATTAATTTAAATATTGTACGGAATGCGCTTCCGACCTAGGGAGCCTCCAACATGTATCGATCCTTATCTCTCACTCCAAGCAAGTATGAACTATAGTATTATTCAGGATTACATTAGATTATCAGATAATTTCACTGATTACCAGTCAATAACATCAATTTTTTTATCATTTTCCATATTGCATATACTTTACTGAATTTCTATTATTTTTCCTATTTTTTCGAAATTTTTACCGGCCATCTCGCGACAAACTTGGCGAGACGACTCATGACTTGCTAGCTGACTCACTCCAGGCTCGCAAGCGAGTTCCGACATTAGTTGGAGTCTTCTAACCTTGGTTCAATCAATCCCAAAAAGTCACAAAATGAATATACTGGAAATAGCAACGCAATCCCAAAAAGTCACAAAAATGAATATACTGTAAATAGCAACACAAGAAACAACAATAACCAACTTGTGGGAGCCTCATATTGCACAACAGCAAAAGTGATTGCAATTAAATAGCATTGAAAATGGAGTTAAAAGGAAAGAACAAAAGAACAGACCACATTTTCATAATCAGGAGCAATCTTATTGGTGCAGAGATATACAGCTTGGAGCACGTCGTCGGGTGACAAGGCAAGCAAGCTGCAAGATGTAAAAAGCGGAATGCAACTAAAAGTTCTTCAATAGCCATCAGCAGTGCAGAAATGCTGAACTAATGAGTATCATCATAGAGAAATATATCCAATCAGCCAAGCTAGACAAACCTTCTGAACATGTTGCAAAGCATAGCAGTGACTTTTAGCTTTCCCCGTTCTGTCTCCAGCAAAGAAAATGTCCGTGCAAGATGTAAATATGGAGCTGGTTCCCCAGAAGTCCAACACGCTGCAGACAAAACTCACATGTTTCTTCCAAATAATTTGTAATAAAAAAATCACCACTATGCATGTATTTCAAAAAAAAAAAAAAAAAAAAAAAAAAAAAAAAAAAAAGACCACACCACCATACAAGGGATGGCTTCAAAAGCATGGTTCCTAAAATAAGCCAAGAACACAACAGTTCAGGTCCATCCATAACTTCAAGATAAAATGCAGGTACAACACAGACAAGGGCATACCATCCTCAACAGGAGAATACTTTTCAAGAGGTAGCCATACAGATTTCGCAACAGGGTTTGCCATGGTAAATCCCTGAGCAGACAAGCTAGGCATGCTGACCGTTTTAAGACAAGCATTATCAGACATTCCGTTACCATTAAAGTTCACATTACTACTGCCAATTTGAGCTGATGCACTGGGCAAAAGCCGCCCTTCTTCAACAGAAGCTTGACTATAATACATCTCAAGTGCCAGATTGATATCTCCTTTGGACTTTCCTACCAAAACAGCAGCGTCTTCCCTAGATGTAGCACAGTCTATTATCTCAAGAAAATGAGATAACTCATTCTCATAGTCATATGATCTGTAGACATTATCAACCACCATACCAATGTCAATTGGAGATTGTTCAGTTATGGGTTCACCAGAACCTGAATTATGTAAAACAGCTGGGCCAACTTTACTAAAGAATCTGGTTATAGTGGACTGTTTCCCATCATTATATACTGGATTTGAGGGCGATTTTAATTTCTTCTTCAACCTGTTCTCTGCTTTCATTCCTCTTCTTTTGGGAGTAGAGCTCTTCTTGGTGGGAAAATTTATGTTGGCCAGGGACTTAACTTTTAAGAGGCTTCCCTTAGAAGTTCCAAGATCACAACCTTTCAAAGATTCCCCTTCTGTAGTGGAAGTGGAATTGAGAATCGAGCTCATTTGAGGACTGCCAACAACCTCCTTAGATATATTTTCTGAAGGATTGGCTTCTAATAGAGCATGTTCATGAAACTCAATTTCACGTTCAAAGAAATTGGAAGCTGCTTCCACTATGTCACCCCCTGAGCAAGTTAATAACTCCACCATCTGATTCATAGTGACCCAGTTCGGAAGGCAATACCGCAGGTCTTCTATAGCTTGGCGCATGTTCATATCATTCATAGCATCAGAATCCGTAATTGCAATAGTGTCTAACACTACAGGCTTCAACGATACATCTTTCTCTAGATCCAAATATATGGCTGAGCCTTCAGCCGACTTGACAGCCATCAATGGCAAGACCCTAGGTTGTAATCGCAAAGACTTTCCTTCTATGATTCTTTTCTCAAGTGAAGCCTCAAGCTTTTCACCCACTTCTCCATTCGAGTCACCATTGATTTGCAAAGATGATCTTTTACTAAACCCCATCAAGAAGTCTTGCTTGTTTGCCAATTCATCAACCAAACCAGCAAAGTGCTTCTGCATCTCACTCACCTGCTTACCATCAAGTTTCCCATCTTCCAAACCCACAGTGGGAACAACTCTTTTTGGCCTGAGGAAACCCACATACTCCCTGAGCTCATTGTAGCTCGAATGCTCACTATATGGAACAAGATGAATCTCAAATGAATTCTTTGACCTAACTGAAAACCCATCCCTCTTTGTTTCATACATCCACCCTGTAGGAACAAAACCAACTGCCCTATGGTACCCCCTTTCGACCGTAATCTTATTTAAATTCCCAAAATTAGGGCGAAAATATGGCCATATTTCCCCCAAAAAATTCCAACCCACCACATGAACGTCAGTTGCGGAAGGATCAACAGTGAAAGCATCACTTTCACCCAAATCCAAAGCATTTAGAATCGACATTTTCCGACTATCAACATATAATAAGCAGCCACACTGCCTAGAAATTTCTAGCAAAAGCTTCTCCTTACCCACCACATAAGTTGAAACCACAAAAAGAACTGACCCCACCTTTTCTTTCCTAATTTTCGCTATGGTTCTCACTACATAATCAATAGACTTGTCTTGAGCAGGGAAACAAAATCTAGGGTTACAGTAAGTAGTATCAAGAAAAACAACATCACAGCCTATAAATTCACTGAGAATTGGATCAGATTTCATTGAATTAGAGAGCCTCATATCGCCAGTGTGAAGATACCTGGAAAGCACGCCATTACAATCGAGGTTCTTGAATAAGAATTGGACAGCTCCAGGACAGTGGTTTGCATCAACAATCGTCACATCCCAGCCATCAATTTCGACAGTGCGACCTAGGGCTAGGGGGATGACAAAGAGAGGAGAGAGATTGAGACATTCAATAAGGAGGCGTGCAGTGATGTGAGAGCAAAACACGAGGCCTCGAGACCAGTTAGGGCTCAAACCACAGTAGTGGTCAGAGTGAAAATGAGATAAAAAGTAGGTTACAGAGAATGGACCAGATGATCGAAACCCATCGATTACAAATGTAGTACCAGGAATTCGTTTTGATGAAGGGAAATTTTGAGGGAAGGGTTTTAAGGAAGATTGTTGAGAGAGAAGCTTGAAAGCAAGGGGTTGAGATGGGCGAGCAGCGATCTGAGAGAAAGCTTCATAGGATGATGTGAATATTTCCTGTGAATTAAGTTCTAGGGTTTCAGTGGAAGAAGAATTGGGAAGAGAAGCCATTAGCGATTCATTATCCAGTTGCAAAAGACAAGGTTTCAGAAGTTTTTAGGTCGTATTGTTTCAAATTTTAGTGACAGAGTGGGAACGAGATGTTACAGAGTTGAGATGTGGGTTGAGAGAGAGGAATTTGAAGCGGCGCTTGCATTTGGGCGCGAACGGTTTGGGTCCTTCACATCGAGAATGCGGCTTGGAGTCCGAGCGTCGTTCAGGACGTAGCGGTTAGCTCGCATATGTACAAACAAGACATCGACCTTTCGGACTGGTGGAGATCAACGGTTTTTGTTTGTGCCGCCGACGCTATTAAGCTCATGTGCAAATGCAGGTTTGGCAATACATATAATTTGATTTTAATTTTTAGAGAATATATAATTTTGAGAGGAAATTATAAAAACCCGTTCAAGTATATTATAACTTAACCTCGAGCTAACTTTTTTTCTCACTTTTTTCCCCTCAATCACCTTTTTTTCGCAAAAACCCCCCAAAATAAAAAGTTGTTATTTTTTGAACGGAAATGCCTTTCTCTATAAAAAAAAAAAAAAAAAAAAAATCAATTGGCGGTCCCAAATCACGTATTGCTGGAGTGACCAATTCAACCATCGGAGCAATGTGGCTTTAGAAGGTGTACTGCCAGAGTACGTATTTGTACTGCCGGAGTGCGTATTTGTACTGCCGAAGCGCTTGTCTTCATTGCCGGAGCAACCTATTCATCTGCTGAAGCGATGTGGCACCAGGAGGTGTGCTGTTGTGTCGAAGCGTATGTCCTCATTACTGGAACGACCTATTCAACCGTCGGAGCGCTATGGCTCCAGAAGATATACTATCGGAGAGCGTGTTTTCATTGTTGGAGCGTTTAAATAGACTGCCGGAGCGCATGGGGAGAGAGCCGTAGGTAAAAGCTACAAGGAGAGAGAAGGGGTAGTTTAGTCTTTTTTTTGCTTTTGTTGGGGGTTTTTGCGAGAAAAGATGGCTGTAGGGAAAAAAGTGAGAGGAAATGTTAGCTGGGGGGTAAATTGCATAGATAGTATACTTGAGGGGGGTTTTTATAATTTTCTCAAATTTTCAACATGAAGATTATGAATATGAAAAAATAAATAAAATTTGAAAACTAGAAAGAAATAATAAAATAAATTTACATATAACGAAATGGCCCAAAAATGGACCGTTATTATCAAGAAGAACGGAATCCCCATTTTTTTTTTTTCTATTTTGACAAGTTTACCCCCAATCCGATGTTTACAACATTGGAACACTTTTTAACCCCCATCCTTTTCTACACAGAGGTCCCCTTGAGTGTTTTTTTTTTTTTCCGTTTTACCCTCAATCCAATGTTAAAACATCAGACCGCCAACTGCTCAAATTTGTTTTTCATAAATCAAGCGGTCTGATGATAGAAACATAGGACTGCAAACTATTCAATTTTTTTCCCAATGTTGTATCACAACAACTCTATTTTCAACCAATGTGTTTAAATACTATGGTCGAGGACTTCTGATTTGCTTTGTTTGATTGAACTCGAATTTCGTGGAAATTTATATATAACGAAATAGCTTAAAAATGGGCCGTTATTACCAAGAAGGACGAAATCCTCATTTTTTCTTTTTCTTTTTTGACAAGTTTTTCCCTGATCCGATGTTTACAACATCGAAACACTTTTTAATCCGTGGAGGTCCCCTTGAGTGTTTTTTTATTGTTTTACCCTCTCAATCCGATGTTAAAAACATCGGACCGCCAACTATTCAATTTTTTTTTTCATAAATCAAATGGTTTGATATTAGAAACATCGGACTGCAAATTGTTCAAAGTTTTTCCAATGTTGTAACACAACAACTCTATTTTGAACCAATGTGTTTAAATACTATGGTCGAGGACTTCTGATTTGCTTTGTTTGATTGAACTCGAATTCCATGGAAACCAAGGATAGAAGGCAATGGACTTTATATCATTTATGAAAAATGAAATGCAAGCTTGATGTGAATGCAAACGCAATGACATGGGAACATATTGGCTTGATTGCGTTGAGCAGCTAGATTTGGGAAAAAAAATTGAACAGTATGCAGTCTAATGTTTCTAACATTGGACCACTTGACTTGGAAAAAAGTTTGCGGTCTAATGTTTCTAACATCGAACCTCTTGATTTATGAAAAAAAAGATTTGAACAGTTGGCGGTCCGATGTTTTTAACACCAGACCGAAGGTCAAACAATAAAAAAATAAATATAAAATACGGATTCTATCCTTCTTGGTAATAACAGCCCATTTTTTATCCATTTCATTATAACGGATCAATAATCCAGACCGTACATAAATTTTATATGAAAAAACATTTGGATTGTTAGTTACAATTGTCTTTAAATGGGCCACCTATTTGCATCCATCTTTAAGATGGATGTTTTATACCTCTCGACCTCATATTGTACAAATGCGGTCTAGCCCGCATGAAGCAATTGTTCATAAAGAAGTAACTACAACTATTCAAAAAACATGAAAGAAATCAAAATTTCGCTTCCTAAAAATGAGTTATTAAGATATTGATATATAAAAAAATAAGCAACAATTAGTATTAATAAATTCAAATGCCATACCTTTAAAATGAGATATATAGATATTTCATAAACAATCATATTACTTAGACCCAGACTTATTCATAACATGCAAAAATCTAGGGACCATTTGGGTACTTGGATTGGACTATCCCTGAAATTTGCTTATACTAGAATTGACTTCTCTTATAATTGGTCTGTTCCTGGGATATGGATGTCTGCTATTCGGATAGCACTTGATAAGAAATATGGACAGTCCTTATCACTGTTTGGATTGCCTGGAAGATGTAAATCCATGGAAATTTAGTTGTAGTTTTTGTATCATTACTTTACATTTAATTTTAGAGTAGTTTCATTTAAATCTATTGAAAAAAGTTCCCTCTCTAAAAAACCTCTTAAAGATAGATATTTATTAATATATAATCTTTTTGGAAAAAAAACTAATTGGATTTTGATAAGGGTCTTTTGGGGTGATTTTTGGGCCTTGGTTCAAGGTCGTTGATAAGGGCCATTTGGGACGACTCAACCGTAAGTTGCATTTTGAATTACAAGTTTCTTTCTCCCATTGTTGCTTTGGATTTGAATGAAACGTCGGATTTTATTTCTCTCTCACTCTCTTTATTTTTATCTATCTATCTATCTATCTCTCTTTCTCTCTCTCTCCAATCCTTGCACAATAAAAATTGTCTTTATAGCTTTGAAAATTCATGGAAGACATCTCTCTCTAAGAATGAGGGATTTAGATTTGCAATAAATTTCTAAAATATTAAAGTCAATGGTAATACAATCACAATGAGAGAATGCCATAAAAGGAAAGAGATAATGCATAGTGAGTGGACAAATTTTAGATGTGAATTAAAGTCAATTGCTATTTACTTTCTTCTATCCAAACAATACAAAAATCTAGCATAAGCTTTGCAAAGTCAAGAGCATACAATTTCTTCTAATCAAGATAAGTACTTGCAATCTACTATGCTCTAATTCAAACCACAACAAAAATCCACTAATACATGACATTTGCAAAAACCATGTCCATAAGGTGCATAGGTGGTAGGACATTGTCGAACTTCCTTGCAGCTGCCTCATTATCCTGAATATACTCCTCCCAACCCGATCCAAATATCGTTCTTGTACCTTCATCGAATTGGTAACTAGGTTGATCAAGGAGTTGTTTAACATTTATATACACAAACTTCAACCATTTAACCATATATCTGAGTCTTTCTATGGTGAACATAAGCCCGTATGCTTCACGCATAACATAAGCTATTTCTATTAAGTCCTCTTTAAGGTTCGTAGCACCCACTTCAACCATGGTTTCGAACTTGATTTTGTCATATTTAGGAGTCCAATTGATACGCCTATAAACATTGCCACTTGGTAGAGTAATTGGAATAGACATATTGGATTTTTTAATAGTATTTCATGTCCAATATATGTATGCATTAATGAATGATGTGCAAAACTAAATTCCCAAGAAACATAACGAATGTATGCCTACGTTTTTATCAAATCATGCAGCCCCGTACACGAATAACATAAAACAATAATTATAGTACATGCAATAAATTTTCAAAACCTATAACAATCAATGAAATAAACTACTATTCCATTAACACCTATTTCATATAATACACGCCAAAAGTCCATAAAGTAATAAGGAGAGTTAGTTTGCACCAAGATCTAGTTTAATTTAGAGTAATAATGGTCTAATGCAAAATAATACATGTTAGAAGAAAAATACAATATGATGACAAACATATGCATATAAGTATTGCTACGAATGCAATTGTCTTCAATGCACTCCCAGTGGTTGAAACAGGTACAGGTCCCCCATTTGTAGGAATAACTACACGTCCATGGCTTTTTTGATAATCTTGAAATCGTGTCACTGCCTCCTCTATAGTGAGATAGGAGCAATGCACGGCTCTTGAGCAGCCTAGCACTTGCCTGGAGCATTCTGCCCACGTCATATACACCTCAAATTTGTGGCAAACATATACAAAATATGCTCTTGGCATTTTCTACAATATTGAGCAATGTATATACATGGGCAACATTAAAGCCATCAACACCACATACACATTGATGATCACTCCATAAGTAGACTATTATGATTATTTAATTGATCAAATATAATAAAACCAATAATATTCTTAAATTACAACAATTTTATATCAGCAATCCGTATTGAAGCATTCTCAATTCAATCATTACTCCAAAATAATAAATATGTCAAAAGCTATGTAAAGATATCGATCCAAGTTCTTGGATTCCAAGGAAATACATGATGTAAAAAAAAAATTGTATAATCAACATCATATAACGCATAAAGCAAAAAATTTAAAACATAAAACTTATTACAACCAGCAATCAACATCAGAAAGCCCTACTCAATTGATATTCGAGTTTAGCAACTAAACATATCTCCAAACTATTGATATTCAACATCTATTCACAATTGATTCATAATAAACATCTATTCACAATTGATCAAAGGTAGATGTAATTCTCATAAACCATAAAATTGGTTGCATAAGTTTCAAAAGCCCTAAAATGGGTCATTTTTTGCCTAATTTATTCCCCAAGTGCAAGGAAAAACTATAATTTCAAAGCTACGCCCATCCAACATTGGGCATTTCAACCAAAAGTAGAAGTTAATAACCCATCATCAAGAGAGGTTTTGAGCATACAAGTAAAACACAATAATAAAAGAATTAAATAACTGCATTTATAAAGATAGTGATCAGCCATGCACACCATACACATCAAGAACATATTTAGCTCTATCCTCTTCATTCATATTCAAGACTTAATGTCATCACATCCGCATCTTTGACAATTTCCTTAGCTGTAGTCACCCTAGCTTTGAGTGTGAGCCCCCGGATCTTGTCTATGGCCTCGCCGACTTGAGTTGTGAGTGGATTGCTTGGTCGTTTATTCATCATCACTCCTAGATTGTTGACAGCCTCTGTCATGATCTCAATGGAGTCGGTTAGTGACCTCTTCTTCTTTGGCCTTGCAACTGCAGTCTTGGGCTCTCTGCCAGATGGATGACTGCATCGGTGATTCAAGTACATCCTACTTATCCGGCACGTCATCTATATAGATACCTAAACCCATCATCGATATACCATCTCCTCCATCTGGGGACTTGGCTTCTTTCTTGACTCTCATGTGCTAACATTAACGGGGTTCTGACACTAGATCCTGCAACAACTTCGTTGTTGATGATAAGGTTAAGCGCATTGTAATAAGGGAAGGGCTACTCTTTCCACCCGTTAGCATTTGGATCATTACGTATTGATAAAGTGTGAGATATTAATACATGTTTCTTGGGCAAGTTACAAAACAACTAAAATGTTAATACAGGATTACTCACCTCAACAAAGGTAGCCCATACAACATCATTAATAAGCACATGGTGCCTGATATTGTCCCACCCAAAACCACTTTGACTCTTGATATCCTTAACTATCAAGTATTGAGCCTTCTAGGTCTTCAATTTATTCTTAAATTGGTCCCTTTTAATGTCCATAATGGTTGCTTTTAAGAACTCCCTCTCGACAGCAGCCCAGTGTAGAGGTTTAAAATCTTGTCTGTTTTATTGGTCTCCAAAGTCATTTCGGATAGGATATCCAATAATGCTATCTCCATTTTCTTCGACCAATTCAACCTTTTGGCCTTCGAGAGGCCAATTGTGCCTCCACCTCATCATTATCCATACCTAGTATAATAAGAGCTATCATACACAGTCCCATTGAATAGCAAGACTACAACAAAGTAACACATGAATTTCCTCATGAATTTTCTCATTGTTTATATATTAAAGTCCCATAGAATATCAAGACTACAACAAAATAGCACAATCTTTAACATACACTTCAACAATATCCATAACCTAATAAAACAAATAAAGATGCAAACACAAACCAAGTATGTTCCTGCAGGCATAGTTCAACATAACATTTCATACAATCAATGGAAGAGTACATAATCTAGGCACCACAATACCTATATTTTTCCCAAATGCTCTTCGCAATTTCTTCTCAGATTTCAAACTATTCATCCCTATCACTTTGACTCCTCCCAAAGCCTTCGAATGTCGGTACATTAACATCTCATCACTGCCTCGAGGGACCTCTATTTCATCATCTGGAGGAGTACCATCAATACCCATGATAAAGTTGTGCAAGATGAAACAAGCTATGACTACCTTCACTTGTGTCTTCAATGGGTATGTAGTCATGACTTTCAATATCGGAAATCGATTTTTTAAGACTTTGAAAGCCCATTCTATGGTATTCTTTAAAGAGAAATGTCTCTTGTTTGAAAAGTTTCATATAGTTTCAGGCCCTATGCTCACTACCACGGAAATCACTCAAGTGGTAGCGATTTAAACGATAGGGGGATAGAAATCCAGCAGCATTTGGGTACCCTACATCTACCAGGTAGAATTTCCCTACAAAAACATCATATTTACAAGTTAATTATATGGTCATATGGATGTATAGGTGTGTCAGGTCAACTAGTAATGCCAATATATTTTTACCTGGACGAACTCTAAGTGGGTCAACATTCAATAAGGAAAAATACAAATACGAGAATCTAATACTGACGCTTCCCAACCGACAAGGACATATTGGAACGTTAAATTAATGGAGCATACACCCATGACATTATGAGATATGAATCCCTTTCAATTTCGAAATGTGCCTTGCAGTGCATATGGCACAGTGGCTAAGATATGAGTGCCATCAATTGCTCCGATATAGTCATAAAAAAATTGAAAGTGAACAATCAAGCAATTTCAAATTCATATGATTGTACACTGATTAATAATAGAATGACAATATAAGGATATATAAAAATGACAATATAAGGATATATAAAAAATACCTTAAAATATGAGAGGAACTTCTCTCTTTTATGAAGTGTATCAATTAGCATGGTCGTCTCTGGAGGTTTAATGAAATTCCCATGAAGGTCTATGATTGTGTCCAACACTCGGTTGAAGTGCCGGTTGACGGTCTCACTCGAACGGTCAAAGTCATGATCGATCTTGCGATTCTTCAAGTTATGACTCAAAGTATGTAGGAACATCATTATTTATTCATCTAGTGATAGTCCCATCGTGTCATTTATCATTTCCCTTTTCCTAAGGAGATTTCGTAAACCGAAGAACACATCGGAGTTGGTCTCGACAATCCACCTCCCTTCTATTTATCATCTCAATGTGGTATTTGGTACCCAATGACCTACGTGTGGGACCCTTTTGTCTACGACTACAAGTAGCTAGAATTGTAGAAACAACTATTATTTTCTTATTCCCCTGTTGTTCATCAACCTCCTCCATTGCCTTATGGTAAAAATAATACGTCCTCCCTAATTTCTATAAACACAAAGCTATTCATCATTTACACTTCATTTGGAACAAACTAGAAACTATTGAAACAAGAACAATTGTAAGACTTGCATGCATCATACAACAAAAAAAAACACAAAATTGTTTGATGTTAACACTCAATTCTTTTACATTTGGGACCAAAATCCAAGAACAATAAGAATTCTATTATGAACACAAGATATCACCATCTACAATCAACTTAATACGTATGGAGAACCTTTACAATCAACTTAATATGTATGGAGGGCCTTTATGGATATATATTGCTCTCTCTGTATCCACCTAAACACCACCAATTCCTAATTTAAGGAATTGTTTGTTATCCATATTTACAGCAAGCACACAATCGGAGTAGCTTGCCAAGAATTGGGACATTTTTCATTTGAAAACACTTGTACATACAAAACGAATTCACAATGGCCTAATATAATGTCAATTTTCTCCTCAATTTTCAACCGGTAAATGGCACAACTAAATTCATCCCACAAGTACTGACTGAAGTGAACAATGACAAGAATCATGAGTAAAAAATCATCTTTTATGAACACAAGTAAGAAATCAGCATATGTAATTAAATCAATTATATGGAGGATATTTAGAGCATAAATTACTGTAGCATGCCCACCTAAAATCAACCAACTTCCAATTGAAAGAGTTTTTGTTTCAGTCCATATATACAGTAGGCACAAACGTACTATATGCTCTGCCAAGGAAAAGACATTTTTCATTTTGTAGATCCAAGTGCAGTAGTATCCTGTCCAACTTTCACTTGTGACAAGCATAAGATAGAATTAAGTACCTACTAGGAAAACTAGTCATTATATCCATACAAGTGTTTCCAATGCAAGAGATATGCAAGTTATACTAACTTCTCTGAGTACGTCACAGGTGCCTGCTGTAAACTACATGGTGACATTACAATTTTAAGTATGGTTCCCTATGATGCAATTTTTCATTTTTTTTAACCATGCATTTTGTATTATTGAAATGCATCTTATTCTACTTAATTCTACAACAATATACAATATTCAACCATAATAAATTTTCTCAAAGACAAAAGAAAATAGGCCATTAACAAGATAACAAAGAGAAAAGGTAGAGAATACAAAATCTGCTCATATTTAGCTTGGTAAAATTTTTAAAACCCCAACATCAAAAATTATATTTTTGGTATAAAATCAACATCACAAACTTACCACATCAATGCTCCACATCAAATTAAGAAACATCAAAATAAATTAGAAGTTGAATATTCATTTTTGATGATTAATTTTGGCGTGCTATTTCAAGTATCATCTAGCCTTGTACAATCAATATGGAAATGATAAACATTAAATACTTTTAAATTTGATATAGCAACTCAAAACTATATCACACCACAATGTAGAGAGAGACACCAAACTCATCTCCGAGCTCTAGAGAGAGACCAAACCTATATCACATTCGTAGCATCTGAAAGTTCTATAATACCCAAATACGCACTCACAAAAAGAGACAGAACAAGGCCAAAAAGAGAAAGAGACCAAGACCAAGATAAGTGATGGATTAGCCTACCCGGTATCTTGGTGTCAAGAGCTTGACAGGGTCCTTGATGGCTCGAGCGGGAGGGAGATAGCGAGCAGAGGCATAGAGAGCAGCACAGTGAACCCTAGCAGAGGGAGAGAGAGCGACACAATTTCCTTTTCTCTGTTTGTTTTTGTTGCGGTTTCTTTTTCCCCTTTCGATTTTGTTGCCGGATGTCAAATAGCACTATGAAATATTGTTTTGCGAAAAGAATTCGGCTCGATGATGGGGATTGTCCAATTCAACTTAAGTTGGATTGGCTTATTCCACCTATTTTAGAGGAATAAGGTCATCCCTATTTTTGGGCCAAAAATGTGGATCGGCCACTCTCCAGGATTCAACTATCCACGCGTGAAGTGTTACCTAAACAAGGGATAAGGGCCAAGGATATATTTGTCCTATAGAGTCCAATCTAGGTACCCAAACGGGCCCTTAAACTAGGGAGAGATATGACAAAGATAAATATTGGTTAATGTAATATTGTCTTCCTTTCAAAATAACCCGGAATTTTAGACAATTATAAAGAGAGAGAGAGTATGTGTGTTCAATATGGCAAAAGTAAATATTGGTTCATGCATTGTTGTCCTCTAGTTCAACTATAAGACATTTTGGTGTTGTTATTGTGCTTGTTTCCCATGATGGCATATAAATTTCGATGAGGCATTCAATGCTCTGTTGTTTCAATATGTCAAATAAGATTTTGATTGTGTATTCTCATTTTCCCTATAGTGTCATAGCATGTTAATATATTATGGTTAGGTAATCATAAATTCAAAAAGGGTAAAATTAAATGCGTAAAGCGATAAAAAATAAAATATAGAATAATGTACTTCTCTATAATTTGTCGAACTTTATATGTAGAAATGTTTATTAGTTGCTTTATGTGCCTGATGAAAATTTCTCTGTTTCTCTCTGAAAGAAAATTATGATTTTCAGAGAGAAATTTTCATCATCTTCAAAAAGAATATATGTAACAAAACTGCATTTAAAAATAATTTAGTTATATATGACTTTAAAAATATTTTATATAACTAAGAAGTATTTTGGTAGATATCCTACTTTTTTACTGGTTTTTCATTAATTGTTTGACAAGGTTTGTAAATGAATTATTTTCCTATTGTTTGAAATGCAACTTTCGAACATTCTTGCATCTATTGTATTGTCCAAATATTAGGCCAAATTGTTAATATAATTTAAAGAAGTATTATTTAAGAAAGTATAAAATAAAAATTTATTTTGATAATATTTTTGTATTTATTTGCAATGTGCAAAAGAACAACAATATTTTATGCATAATGGAACTTTAAGATCATATATCAAGGACAAAACAAATTATTTATGAGAATAAGTAATTAGTAAATTTACCCAAAATTGAAGAGTGATAGAGCATAGTAGGAATGTACCTTTCTCACATGATCTAATGTTATTTCTTGAACATCAATGAAAGATAGATACTGAGTGGGTGGCCTTCTCTTTAAAGGTGAAAAAGAGTATGATAATGTGGGAAGTAATTGCTCAGAATTCTCTTGGATCTTTTGAAAATATCAAATTAATTAGTAAATTTTTAGTAAATAAAAAGAATTGTTGTTGTAAAAGGTAGAACTTACAAATATGATAATGATTGAAATATTGACTCTGACAAAGAGGTGATGACCTTTGTGATGGGAGTTGAACTTGTTGACTTTATGTTCTAATAAATAGGTATGATTAGATGGCGCATTGGTTATTATCCATTTGTTAAATTTAATTAATTTTGTTACCTCCTCTATATTCTTGACTTTTGATATATGCCAAAATGATGTGCTTTGACTTTGAGAGAAGTCTATGCTTTCCTTTCATAGCTCTCCCCATAGAGTTATTCGAATACTTTCATTTTTGTTAAATATTAGCTAACTTTAATAGAATTACCAAATAATGATAAAGTGGTTTATGATTAATAAAAAAAAAGAAGATATAGTATACCTTTCATTTATGAAATAAATATTTCTTGGGCCAGAGTTTGGCTTGGATGAGAATTCTTCAATATTTGTGACGACTCTCATTATTTCTGCGTTAAAAAATAAATTTAGTGGATAAAAAATTATGCAATATAATGCAATAAATATAACTATAAATGTAAGATGTTATAAATTTGTACCTTTGCGTAGAGGTTTCTTTTTATACTGAAAGAATATTGAAATCTAAAAAGTTATAGTTCTTCTCTATTGGAAACTCTTTATCATTTGTGACTTTATCTATTGTGATTTCTATATCGATAGTTATGTCGAATTTGTTTCCGACCAGTTTGTGCTCTTGTGGACTGACATTCAACATTGCATTTCTTACCTTGTATAGAAATCCTTCCTCAAGTTTAGGTTAGAAGAGCTCAATATTCTGATTATATATTGTTGCAATAATTTCTTTGCCTTGTAAACATTAGGTAATTAAGATATGCTTACTATAGTTTAGGTAAAATTAAACAAAATTAAAATACTTTTGGTCCGAGAATAATAATTTCATAAATATTTTTGCTTATATTGTTTAGATGTTCGTTGGTAGCTAGCATGGAATAATCTACACATCAAAGAAATGCTTCTTTGTTCTTATGAAATTTGTGAAAATATTGATATGTATGATTGTGATTGCAATGATGCCCTCTTCATTTTTTGTAATAACAAAAGAAATCCAATCAGTCTGTTTTACATGTTTTCAAGGAAATAAGAAACCAATAAAGATAATATTAAGGAAAAAGGAGCATATTTTTTTATATATAGACTTATAAAATGAAAGGCTCTTTATATAGCAATGAAAGTATATTTTTCGTAATATTGTTTATAAATGCAACAATACATGCAAGAGAGACTAAAAAAAAACTAAAGTAAGTCAATAAGCTTACAATTTGAAATAAATATAGACAATATTCTTTGCATAGCAACCCTTTATCTGCTATTTTTTTTTTTGTTAGTACTTTTATGTTTCTCATAGATATTCCTCTAGATAACGCTACATATAGTTGTCCATGATTGATACAAAAGGAGTTCAGAAAATTAAATCCAGCATTCTTTAATTCTTAAACAAGCAAAAATTCAACAATAATTGAGGGAAAAATACGGTTGTACATCAAATTATGGAGAAGAATAAGCTATATTTCTTCATTCATAAACAAACTCTTTACGAAAAATATCAAGTTCAAGTTTTTACACATAAACCTTCATTTTTTGTATAAACAAAAAAACTAAAAACTAAAGCAAAGAAACCCCCAAATGCTAATCTTTCTCTACCTCTTTCTTTCTTTCACATGGATCTTAATCTGTTTAGCTCTCTCTTTCCTTCATGTCAATCTTGAAAGTAGGACTATGTAATCAAGTACAATGTATATAAATTAAATTTTTTCTCATTTTTCTTATTCTAACACTGGCAAGACCACTCACAATGTTCAATTACAAATAAATAATAATTAAAATTAATAAATAAAAGAAGAGAAACACAGTTCCTACTTGCTACTACTATTGAATACAAATCCTTAAATCAAAACCTTAACTCATTGCTTTATGGGAATAGATGAGCTCAAAACAAAAATAAAATTTCTGGACATTACCGCAACTGGGCCTGGTACACCCCATGCCGAGTCTCCTCTTTCTGATGGTGCTCGAGATCTATGATCGGTCTCTTGATTTTCCTACTTGTGGCAAAAACCCTCTCAATAGCATATGGATCTCGATCTGAAACCAACTACCTTAAGCCTCAATGCCTTAAACTTGCTTAAACCCCTGGGCTTGATCTTTAGAGAGATGAGAGACAGAAATCAACAAGAGAATGAGATATCTACTAGCTAGGGTACGTTCCCCTTTGCTGCCCACAAAAGTCAAGAACAACCTTAGCTAGGTGTGACCCTTAGAAAACACAAGAGAGAGATGAGATTGCTTGGGTGTGCAATCTTCTGGTTATGCTATGTTATCCATTCAAGACGATTTTTGGCTTATAAAAATATCATTTCGGGATCATTTTAGGTTGGACTCCTGAGACTCTTACACTCTAGAGACCCTTTAGACTTGATTAGCTCTTATGCTCAGAGAAAGCTTAGAGATCATGAGACCTGAGAAAAACCTAGACTTAGGGCGTGTTTGATAACATGAAGAAAGAACATGAACTGAAAATTGGAAGTTACTGAAGAACTGTAAATTAGAAGTTACTTAAGAAGTTAATGGTTCTGTATTTGATAACCTCCCTGGGAAGTTAAGAAGTTCATAGTTTCTGTGTTTGATAACTCCTGGGATATATGGTAAATATCTATATTTTATTATTACTATAATAAATAAATTTAAAATAAGAAAATAATATAAAATAATTTAAAAAACAATAACTAATAAATATATAGTATAAATTA